TGTAAAATTCATGTGGATCCCACCCTGGCCACTGACCTGTGGGGTTTCTCAGGGTGCTGCTTTGTCTCTCATGTTATTAACATCAACATGAAACTTCTGGGAAACATTATCTGGAGTTTTCGGGTTCGGTGTCACCTGTGTGTGGATGACATCCAACTCTACCTCTCCTTACCACCTAAATCCAAGGAAGGTGTTTCTGCTCTAGATCAGTGTTTGGTATCAGTAATGGACGATGTGGGTGAATGAATTGAAACTTAATCCAGACAAGACAGGGGTGCCTCTGGTCAGTCAAACGACAGATCAAGGAATATAGATACAGCCTGTACTGGATGGGGTTAACCCCCCCCCCAAACAAACAGGCGCTCCTGTATTCATCCTTGAGCCTGCATGCCCAGTCCTTGGCAGTGGTCAGGAGAGCATTTGCACAATTAAAACTAGTGTGCCTGCTACATCCATTTCTTGAGATAATTTGGTCTTGCCTCTGTGACACATGCCCTAGTAACTTCCCAGCTGGATTACTGTAATGTGCTCTTTGTGGGGTTTCTAATGGAAAGTGTCAGGAAACTTCAGCTGATCCTAATGCCACAAGCAGGCAAAGTCCTTTGTCTTCAGGCAAGCCTTCCCTCAGTAATTAGCTGTGTGAGAGTTTTAGATGGATTATTATGCATTACTGCTTTGACTGGATATTTAGTACTACTTCTGTTTTCCATTTTTGCGTTTTCCATTTCTCAGACTGGCATTTGTTTTCTTTTTAATATTTGTATACTTTCATTCTTCGTTTTAATATTTAATGATGTAACCTGTCTCTTTATATTCATTGTTCTTAGCTTTAGATATATTTTTTAATGATGTTAACCACTGTTGTATACTCATTGTTTTCAACTTTAAATGTTGTCTATCAGAGTTGTAAGCCACTTTGGGTCCTTTTCAAGGAAAAAGACAGGGTAAACATATTTTAAATAAATGAATGAATAAAAGTCTTTACATCGTTGCAGAACCATGCACTGGGGGACCCATGTTTTCTATGTTGCAGCCTATGAGCACAAAATGGCGCCCACAAGTGGACAGTGATTTTGAGATGATCCTGAAGAAAAATCATGTGGATACATATGTTGGATTCTTGTTTTTATATCATTGTAAAGCCATGCACTGGGGGCCCAAGATTGCTATGGTGTAAACTTATGGGCACAACTAGGGCCTATGAGTGGATAGTGGTTTGGGACAATCCTGCAGAAGAATAATGTGGATCCATAGGCATCTCTGTCTTATATTGTTGTTTTGTTGTACTGCAAAGTCATGTCCTGGGGGATGCATGATTTATGTCTTGTAGTCTGTAGGCAGAGAAAGGATGATCCCGCAGAAAAATCATGTGGATCCATCTGTGCTTTGGATCCATGTTTTTATTTGACTTCAAAGCCATGCACTGAAGGACCCACAATTTCTGTGTTTTAGTGTGTTGGCAGAGATGGGAGCCATGATTTGACAGTGATTGGGGGATGATCCTACATCAAAATTATGTGGATTCATGGGGGTCTATACATCAGATCCATGTTTCTGCAGCACTGCAAAATCATAGTAAAAATCATGCACAGTGAAAATCATGTGGATCCATGAGAATCTGTGCTTCAGATGCATGTTTTTACGTCACTGCAAACCCATGCACTTGGGGACCCATGATTTCTGTATCCCAGCCTATGGGCACAAATGAGAAAAATCATGTGGCTCCATGAGATCCGTGCATCATCTCTATGTTTTTGCACCACTGCAAAGCGAGGCACTGCAGGTCCCACAATTTATGTGATGTAGTCTATGAGAGCCAATAGGATCTATAATCTGACAGTGGTTTAGGGAGGATAACTTCTAAAAATCATGAAAGCATATGGATCTGTAAACTTATGAGTAAACTGGGTAAACATGCTCACAGGTAAACCAGGTAAAATGTGCTTTGAGATCATTCAAAGCCAGAAAGGGAATAAACAGTAATTTCACAGCTTAATGAGTGAGATGCTATACAGTATATTATTATCTATTTTTTATAATAGCTTTTAAAATATTTCCATAGACAGGAGCTAAAAATGTGGGCCCACGAAGGAGTCAAATGCTTTCATAATGAAGGCAATAGCAGGGTTAGAAGTGACAGCCTTTCACCAGTCCTGTGGGTTGACTGGAGACACATTCCAGAACCCTGTGTTATGCAGATGGTTTCTTTGGAATTCCCAGAAGTTATTTAAAAAGGCAGTAATTTCAGAAATTTTAGGGGTTAAAAGGCAGTAATTAAAGGGTCTGATTTAGAGCTAAGAATTGCTAGATCATCTTGAAAGAAAAAAAGACCCTCCCACAGAGTGTTTTTTTTTTCAGGTATACATATTTTGTCTTATCCATGTATTTTTAATGCTTTCTGCTCCTAAGAACACAATATATGTGTGGCGTCCACCCTAAGTTATGTATTATAGGTTATATACATTATTCATAAGTTATATGTTAATGTGGTTGTGAGGCGGGGCCAAAGGAGCTGCTAAAGAGGCAGAGCCTGAAAGTCAGAGCCAGAGAGATCTGGAGAGGAGAATAGTTTGGGGTTTTCAGGCAGAGAGTGTTTAAGGAGTGATTAGGCAGTGATTAGTTAGAGTGTGACCTGTGGTAATATAGAAGAGATTAAAGAAAAATATTGAAGCTTTATGAAACCTTAAGAATGCCCTTAAGAATTATTCCTGAAACCATGTGTAATCAATAAATCTGTTTCTGTTAAAAAGTCAGTACTGGGTGGACCTTAGTCTTTCAAAAGAAATACAAGTTGATGAAGAGATCAACTGGTGGCAGTGTGTCAAGAAGCGTGTTGGGATACCTTTGTAAGCTCTGTGTTGGGTGAAACAAGCAGGGGCCACGGGGTAAATGCCACAATATGGCTGCCCACCTGTACCAGCATAATACAATATCAAACAAAACTACTATGACCATAATAGTATTTCAGTGGGAGCTTCCATACTTCAGAAACATATAATATTTAGCTGCACTCATATATGAAGTCCAGTTTCATAGTTATAAGTTTTTGATTGAAGCTCCCCATCTTTTAATTTTGCATGCCGAATGGTTTTTTTGTGTGCTTATGCAAAATATATGTGTGAAAATGCTTTATTAAGTATTGCTTTGCCTTCATCATTGCAGCTATTGATGACCACCTCCCAATGCACTAAAATGAATTGTCCAACAAATTGTCCACATATCATATTTACAAAGCAGTATTTTTTGGAGCAAAACTGAAGCCCAGCAGCTTTTGTGCAAGACGAATCTACGTTGATTGGCATGAACCCTCTGCTAAAGTTCTCCGGACTGGAGAAAAAGACCCAGTCTATTGCTGCAGACCCCATTTTCATAGGTGACCCCAAAATTGCCTGTTTGAATAAAAACAAAAACAAACCACGAACCTTCTAATATTTAATTTACAGTATATGCCATTAGGATAGCTTACACTTGTTCTACCCTCCTTTTCCATAGAACTGTTGCCAGGAGCAGGATGAGAAAGAGATAAAGGAGAGCAGGGGCCATGTCTCTGCTTTATGGATGGGAGGACTAGCACATGGAGTTTGATGTTGATATAACTGAAGCAGACACTGAGAGATATTGGAATGATATCTTATCTATGGTACTATGTGAACATGTCCAAGTGTCTGTGATGGGTACAGAAGAGAAAGGGACCTGGAGTAGACAGTCCTTTTTGTCCCTGTCAGCACTGCAGAAATTCTGTTAGGTGGTAAGCTAATCATTGCCTTCTGAGAACTGATTCTGGTCCCTTGCTGAAATAACTCTTGGGAAAGAGAAAACAAAAGATACATGTGTGTTGTGAATTTGGTTAGTTTATTCTAATCAGAAGTTGTCATTCTGGGCTGCTGTGTTGTGTTCTGGTTGGTCTGGGGGCATTAAAGAGTTAATAAAGGGGTTCTGTTTTACTGGGTTTGATGTCTAAAACATTGTTTTGATGAATGTCCATCACATTCCATTAGTTTTGGTATCAATTCCAATACCCATTTTGACCTGTTCTATTCAATCCTGTTCTGCTCTGGCTTTTGTCTAGTCCCCTTGTTTCAGGGCTTATTGCCAATGTCAGATCTCATAGTGCATCTTTCTCTAGGTGTACAAGGTCCCTTACAATATATGTGTCCCTCTACATTAGTTAAGCAGTTCCATGAAAGCAGAAAAAAATCCCTTTCCTTTCTACAGAAGGGGCTCCTCTGTTATAGGAATATGTTCCCCTACCTGTGACCAGTAGGTTCTGAGAATGGATTCCTGCCTTGAGCCGTAGATTCGATGTCCTTATAGGCCCCTTCCAACTCATTTATTCTATGATTGCTACTCATGTCCCATTCTGATCTCCCACCCCTGGATTGAGGGGTTAGGATTCTGCTCTCAAGACTCCTGTCAGTCTTAGAGAACAAAAACATATCAGTGGTTGTTAGGGAAAATCCAAGTCCAGTGGACATTAGCAGGACAAGAAAAGGGTAGTGGTGCAAACATCTTTTCCTGACACACATTCTGGAAACAAAAGATGAAAGGACTCAATTATAGTGCTATGGAAAAATATAATGCAGGCTGGCCTACAGAACTTGTGGCACTCAAAGCTTAAAGCAAGTCACTGTATGGATATGATGGCTTTCCAGCTGCCTGAATACTTCGTATTTTATTTTATTTTATTGCTTTCCCAGGCTGTAAATGAGGCTAGAAATTTATCAAGCTTCCAGGGCACCGCTTTTAGTGTGACTTGGATTATGAAGTCTATAGGACTAGGATAATGAGAAGATCCTACTGTTTCTTCTGTTCATTTTCCCTTGCCTTATTCACAAGCTCATCACAGAAAGGTGATTAAACAGACAGAAAAAAGTGATTTTGTGTGTGTGTGTGTGTGTGTATTCAAACGCGCTTAGTGTTTGAAGACACTGAATTACATACTCATTGCATATGAAGTGATTCTGTTTCCTACAAAACATATAAGCATATCAAAAACTTACGTGATGGTGTCAATCATATCCAATCCCATTTCAACACAACAGTGTGCATGATCTGTTTTAGGTTGGGTTAGTCCTGATACACAGTAGTAGCAGTCTCCAAGGATTTTTATCCTTCTGCAGTGGTTTTCCTTTAATTAAAAGAGGGAAAGAGAGTGAAGCTTTACTATGGTAACATGTGTTCCTATCCTTATGTATAGCAAACATATTAAATGATATAATTTCCATAACTATCTCTCTGGATTAAACTTTCAGTCTCAAAACTACTGAGACACACAGCGTTATGCTAAATATATTTTCTTACAAGTAAGTGAAGAAAATACAGAGTCAATAAGGTAAGTACTTCCCACCCATTCAAATATCTTTGCCTCTTTCCTGTCCCCTTGCGCTGTTTTTCTTTAGTTGAAATTCAAATTGCAAACTCTTAGGGACAGAACATATACATGGAGATACTAATTGATATATTTAAAATATTTATTGTCTGCCCAACATTATAAAATCTCAGAGTGGGTTACAAAATCATATAAAAAGTAATAAAAGTATAAAATGTTCAGTTTTTTAAACTATCACTTTAAAATACAAAATTTAAACATTAAAACCATTGAATTAAAACCTGTGCAAGTTACAATCTTCAAGCCCCAAAGGATCTAATAAATATGTTTTGACTTGGTGCCAAAATGATGATTCTTAGCCTTCCAGTTTCTGTAAGAAAAGACCAGGAAACTGTTGTGCAGCACTATCTGCACAAGGGGAATGATATCATTATGAGAGGCAAATTGCTACTAATTAAAGATTTTCTTTTTTCAATTTTAGGGTGACTCTAGCTGAACACACTTTGGTGAAGTCACATGAAATTGAAAAAGGAAGTATTCAGTTAGGAAAAATTCACCACTAATGACTAATTTACTTATTTTACTTTATATTTTGTAGCTGCCCCATTTCTCTTCAGAAATATAATGATTCTTGTTCAGGGATATAATCTTTCCCTTTCTCAAACATATTTACTAAAACCAAGTCCCATATACTGTATCTTTAAAATCATTTGCATTTGATATTCCTTTTCTAACCCTCAGTTTCATGAGTTAGTTCATAATTAGTGGCCATATTCCACATTTCTTTATATCATTACTCCACATTAATTTAGTATTCTTCCAGTTCCTTGCAAATATCTATCTTGCCACTAGAGATGGGGATGAAGTGCCAAAATGGCGCTTTGTCTTGGTTCGTCCCACAAATTTTCCCCCAGTGGCCTGACGAACCACAAATCAATTTGTCAGTTTGTCAGGTCATATTTTTTTTAGACAGCTCCTGGGGCTATCTTTTTTTTAAAAAAAAAAGCCCCACCCCCACAGCCTTCCTATGCATATCTTGATCAAAGCAATCCCCCAGTCCTGCTGCCTTTGCAAAGGCAACACAGCTGCAAGATGGCTTGGGTCCTGCTTTCCCTCCTCTTCCTATGCTCCCATGGCATAGGAAGAGGAGGGGAGGGGTTAAAGCAATCCCCCAGCACTGCTGCCTTTCACTTGGGTCCCCTTTTGCTCCTCTTCCAATGCCCCAGTGGGGATAGGAAGTGGAGTGTAGCCTGATCAAAGGCAAAGGCAGCAGGGCTGGGGGTTTGCTTTGATCCCTTCCCTCCTTTTCCTACGCCGCGTGGAGGGAAAGCAGGACCAAAGCCATCCTGCAACCCCTGGGGCTGGGGGATCACTTTGATCCCTCTTGGATCCCTTCCCTATGTCATGGAGGCACAGGAAGAGGAGGAAAGGGGAACCAAGCCATCCCCTAGCCGAGCCACCCAAAAGGAAAATCCCTCTCTGCTTATGCCCCCGAGGAACAGCTGATCCATGGGGACATAAGGAGATGAATATAAAAGGGTTATATTTGTTGCTTCATATTAATTGCAGTTTCTAGACCCCAAGAATACGAAGCAATGACTATATGACGAATCAGGGATATTCAACAAATATCCTGCTTCGTTTTTATATTTATCCCCGTGTCTACTTGCCACCATTACCGGAATAATAACTAGTTCCTTTTCTTTCCCTTGTAGTTGATTATTTAAAACCATATTCAACAAAGGATCACTGGACACATATGTACATCAATACCCACAATTTCCATAATCTCTTTTAAAATCACCAACCTCCTCATTTCACAATTCAATCACATGTGTAACTATATCCCCATTTCTTTTTTACATCTTCAACATAAAGATGGCACTACTTCATTTAACAAATTCAGTTTCACTGGTGTCAGGTACCACCTCCTTACTACTTTATAACAATTTTCTTTAACCCTTACATACATATATTTCATTATTCTTTTACTCCACATCTTCCAATTGTCTCCTTTAATTTCTTTTCCCAGATGTCTTTGCCATACTTCTTTTAAAACTTATTTTATATTCTCCCTGTATTAACATCTTGTATATTACACATATTATCCTCTTTCTATTTTTATTAATTTTTATCATCTTTCTTTTTCAATAATTTTCTCAAATGTCATCATTAATGTACTCTCTGCTTCCTTTATCCTCCATTACTTTGTTCAGTTTTCTGAGTGAAATATATTCAACGATGAAATTCTCTCATCTCCCAGTATTTCGCTTATTTTCTCTCTATTATGCATCTTTCTTATCCAGTCTTTTACTCTAATAACTTCCTGTTCAATTAATACTGGGAAATTCCTTAATTCTATCATCTGACTCAAGGGAGAAATAGGTAAACTCAGTATTCCTTTATTTTTTCAGCTTGCCAACATATCATATAAAAAGGGGTTATCTATACTTTAATCACATATTTAATATTTTCTTTTCAAAGTATTTTCTATAATCTCCTCTCCATTATAAAATTCAAAAGGCTTTCCAAATTATATTTTTATTATTTATTATAGTATCTGGAATATGTCTAATTTATTTTGCAATATAATATAATATAATTTTGGGTAAACCTAATGATCTCTCCCTTTGTGATATGTAACATGCCATAGCCACCTTGGGTCCTTTTCAAGGCAAAAGGTGGAATAAAAAGATTTTAAATAAATAAATAAATAATTTAAAATTGATTCTTGCAGTTTTATTTCTGTTGCAATGCATGTTAATCATAATCTGCCATTCTTTTAGCTCATTTTCACTAATTTATATGGGTAACACCCAGGAAAAAAAAATTAGAGATAATTTTCATTTTACATAAATCTATTTTACCAAACCAAAGAAAAAGCACCTAAAGGCAAAGGAAAAGAATCTCCTGTTGCTCCTTCATTACATAGCCTGCAGTCAGCCTCCCAATAAAGTGGACCCTCAATGTACTCACGGCTCCACGTGCATACTTTTCGAGGTCCGGACTTCTCCGGCCGCAAGATTTCCAATCGACTTGCGGTCGGAGAATCAACCTACAGACCGGAAGCAGGAGGCAGGGAAAACACCAAATTCAAATTTGTCGCTTTCCCTACCTCCCCCTTCCAGTCCGTAGGCCACCAATCGTGCCTTGGGATGCCTTCCAGGGCTTCTCCACCACCGTGGGAGGCATCTCAGAGATCCCCCCCGCTGCCGATCGTGCTTCGGATGCACGATTGGTGGGGGGGCCCTCCGAGATGCCTCCCATCATGGCGGAGAAGGCATCCAGAGGTCCCCCACCGCTGCCACCGCTGCTCGGAGCCAAGCCGCCCCGGGTGATCCCGGCCATGCTCAAACTCCTGGACTTCCCCTGCTGCCGCCACTGCTGGAAGCTGCACTGGCCTCAGACAGCAGCGATGTGAGGGGAATTTTGGGAGTCTGAGCATAGCCGGGATTGCCCAGCATGCCTCAGCTCCCAACAGCAGCAGCTGTGGTGGGGGAAGTCCAGGGGTCTGAGCATGGCCGGGATAGTGTGCCACAGCTCCCAGCCACAGCGGCAGCAGGGAACCTCTGGAGGCCTTCCCCACCACCATCTGAGGCCTGGGGCCCCCCCCCCCCCGCCAATAATGCTTCGGAGGCACTATCGGCAGCGGCAGGGGACCTCCGAGAGGCCTCAGATGGCGATGGGGAAGGCCTCCGGAGGATCCCCCCACCAATGCAGGCTTTCCCAGGGTGGACCGGGCCTTCCAGGGGAGGGCTTCCCCTTGGTAGGCCCGGTCTACTGCCCAGCAAAGCCTGGGGAATAGACCGGGCCTAACGGGGGAAGCCCTCTCCTGGTAGGCCCAGTCTACCAGGCTTTCCCAGGCAGTAGACCAGGCCTACCGGGGGAAGCCCTCCCCTGGTAGGCCCGGTCCACCCTGGGAAAGCCTGCGTTGGCGGAGTGGGCAAACTCTGAGAGGCCTCCGGCAGCAGTGATGGCGGCAGCGAGGGACCTTTGAGTGGCCTCCGGAGGCCTTGGGCATTGGCAATGGCGGCGGTAGGGGACCCCTGGAAGGCTTCAGAAAGGTAAGTTAAATTTAAAAAATTAAATTTTAGTTAGTAAACTTGGATGGTATCGCTAGGGCCAATTATCCGAAATTACATGATTGGCTGGTTTGTAAACTTGTTGTTGTTGGAATTATGGGATTTAAGAGAGTTAGAAAGAACAAAGATAATCTCCATCTTGGATCATCATCATCCAAGCCTGGGCATGGGCAGCAAGGCTTTAGCAGCGGTGCTCAACTAGCCGCATGTGACTGAGATCCTTCCTTTCAAATCAAGTGGGTAATGTTGGCATATATAAATTTTTTAGGGGGTAAAAGGTAAAAAAGTTCCCTGACCCCTGGCTTAGAGAGTTAGCTTTTCATTGTTTTCTGTGGGAATAACTTTATCATGCCTTGAGCTCTGTATGTTCTGCTTATGTTACCTGATTGTGGTTTTTGTATTCACTGCTGAAATTATTGGACTTTGCTATGCTATACTACCTTTTCCTTTAAAAAAAACAATAAAATTTTACCCATGCTGTGGTTTATTCAGATAGCTGCTAAGGAGTTGAAGGTACTTTTCCAGTGTTTGAGGGGGCTTGGAGACTTTTGTAGCATTTTGGGTTACTTTAAGTTCTGTGCACGGTTGGGTTGCAATTAGGAGCAACAACCTGCTATTGTTTGTATTTCCCCTGAGTGCTCAGGAGTAAGGAACTCAGAGCATGCTAGGGAAAGACATACACCTTAGGAGGCATTTCCCAACAATCTTGCACTAACC